GCCGACTCGGTGCACCTCGCCTGGGACCTCTCGCGGGCCCTCGGGGCCGTGGTCTTCTCCCGTGAGTGCGGGCGGCGTCTGGGGAAGGCGGAGGGGGCCCCGGGTGGGGAGGCCTAAGAAGGTGTCCCCGCTCTCTCCCGGGTGGCCGAGAGCCGGTTGGGGAAGAAAACGGAATGAATATCTGGAAATTGGGGGAAACGGTTCTTGATTATTGTGGCCATGATGAGCCTGTCTGGAGGAGTAGGTTTTCCCTTCAAGGCCGCACAGGTACTGGTTCTGACCGCTTTTTTTTTTTTAATTCTTCGTAGGGGTTACAAATAACGTTGTTTTGGAAGCGCCCTTCCTGGTTGGCATTGAAGGTTTACTCAAAGGCAGGTACGTGCCGAGACTCCTGATCGGTCTCCAGTCCCTGACTTAATGATTCCGAGGAGCGATCTTGCGCTGGAAGAAAAGTTTATTCCGCCCATACAGTGTATTGGAAGGATGTTCCTTTTACCTGTTTGTCTTCTGCGAACTTGAAGCAATAATCGATGGAAAAGTTGTATTTGTGGATAGATTTTAAGATCTCTTTGAGGGCCACATATCCCTAGTGGCTTGTGCAAGTAGAGTGAGGCTAAGAAGGTACGTCTAGTAGAGGAAAAGGGAGAAAATTATGTTGTTGTTGCTTTGTTTGTTTTTGTTAATGCTCACCCGAGGATATTTTTCCATTGTTATTTATTTTTTAAAAATGTATTTTATTTGTTAAAATATGTTTTATTGATTTTTTTTACAGAGAGGAAGGGAAAGGCATAGAGATTTAGAAACATCGATCAGCTGCCTCCTGCACACCCCCTACTGGGGATAAGCCCGCAACCAAGATAACATGCCCTTGAACGAATCCAACCCGGGACCCTTCAGTCCTCAGGCCAATGCTCCATCCACTGAGCCAAACCAGTTAGGGCTTCCATTGATTTTTAGAGAGAGTGGAAGGGAGAGGGAAAAACAGAAACATCCATGTGAGAGAGACACATCAATTGGTTGCCTTCCGGCTCACACCCTGACCAGGGCCAGGGAACCTGCAGTCAAAGTACCTGCCCTTGACCGGAATCGAACCCGGGACCCTTCGGTCCTTGGGCCGACGCTTTATTCACTGAGCCAAACCAGCCAGGGCAAGAAAATTATATTTTGGTGTATAGTGATAATAACTTACTAGAAACCACAGTCCTTTGAGATAACTAGGACTTTTAAGTTTGCATGTAACCTGGCATTTGTAATAAGCAGTGGCAGGACTAATTCTGCTGTAACCCAGGAAACGAGGAGGAAAACAGGTTTGAATGTTATCCACTTGAATACAGTAGTCTGTCCCCCTTATCCATGGTTTCGTTTTTCACGATTTCAGTTACCCAAGGTCAACTACAGTCTGAACATATTAAATGACAAATTCCAGAAATAAACAATTTATAGGTTTTAAGTTGTGCATCATTCTAAATAGTGTGGTGAAATCTCACAATATCCTACCCTTTGTCCCGCGTATCTATGCTGTATGTACTAACTCATGGTTAGTTATTTACTAGCTGGCTTGATCATCAGATCAACTGTCACAATGTCTGTTGACTTCAGAGAGGAAGGGATAAGGAGAGAGAGATAGAAATATCAATGATGAGAGAGAATCATTGATTGGTTACCTCCTGCATGCCCCCTACTGGGGATCGAGCCTCCATCCCAGGCATGTGCCCTTGGCTGAAATTTAACCTGGGACCCTTCAGTCCGCAGGCTGACGCTCTGTCCACTGAGCCAAACTGGCTAGAGCTGGATGTTGTTATATACCAGCAAATATGGTAAGTGACTTACCCAAGTGGTATAACTAGAACTGAAATCAATATTTCCCGATTCTTCACCCAGTAATGTTTCAGAGGATGAAGGAAAAGAAAATTGATGGCTTGTGAGGGTAATAGGATTTCTTTTATTTAATTTTTTTAGAGGGTGAGGGATAGAGAGAGAGAAACATTGATGAGAGAGAAACATCGATTGGCTGCCTCCTGTAAGCCCTACTGGGGATCGAGCCCAAAACCCGGGCATATGCCCTGTCTGGGGATAGAACCGGGGACCTCTTGGCGCATGGTGCACTCAACCACTGAGCCATATTGGCCAGGTGGATTTCTTTCCTTAAAGTTTTTTGTTTTATCTGCACAATAAAAATCCTGATTTGAATTCTATTAATAAATTGTTTAGTAATCCCAGGTCAACTTGATTTTGTCATGGTAGCTAATTTAAATAGTCTTATATAGTTTTATATGTTTAAATGTTAATCTGATTAGTTGGCTCTCTGCTTTTCAGATGTAAATTACTTTTCTTAGCTCTGCATCCATGATTTCTGTTGTGGCCAGAATACACAAGGTTATCTGTAATCTAGGGTGTAATTTTATTAAAGTCTGAGTTAACCTTCTTTTTTTTAATATATATATACATATAAATATGTATATATATATGTATATATATATATATTTTTTTTTATTGATTGTTTACAGAGAGGAAGGGAGAGGGATAGAGAGTTAGAAACATCAATGAGAGAGAAACATCGATCAGCTGCCTCCTGCACACCTCCTACTGGGGATGTACCCGCAACCAAGGTACATGCCCTTGACCGAAATTGAACCTGGGACCTTTCAGTCCGCAGGCCGACGCTCTATCCACTGAGCCAAACTGGTTAGGGATTTTTAATATATTTTTATTGATTTCAGAGAGAAGGGAAAGATAGAAACATCAATGATGAGAGAGACTCATAGATCGGCTGCCTCCTGCATGAGCCCACAACCCGGGCATGTGCCCCTGACTGGAATCGAACCTGGGACCCTTCAGTCTGCAGGCCAACGCTCTATCCACTGAGCCGAACCTGCTAGGGCTGAGTTAACCTTTCTTGAATGTGACATTCCTATTATAGCATAGTTCTTAGGAATGCATTCAGATGTTGGTTATTTTGTATTTACAGATTTTCTTTCTTACCCATATTCTGTGTTTTTCCCCCTCCAGCACTTACAACCTTTTATTCTGTAGTTCTTGTGGGATTCCCATTGGTTTCCATCTGTATTCTACCCATGCTGCCCTGGCTGCATTGAAAGGTCACTTCTGCCTTTCCAGTGACAAAATGGAATGGTGAGTAGACTTACTCTTTTTTTAAAATTGATTTTTAGAAAGAAATATTGATGTGAGAGGAAAACATCAATTGGCTGCTTCCTGCATGCCCCCTACCAGGGATGGAGCCTGTAACCCAGGCATGTGTCTTGATCGGAAATTGAACCGGCAACCCTTCCGTGCACAGGAGGACTCCTAACAAACTGAGCCACACCAGCCAGAGCGACATAGATGTTCTTTATCAAATAAATTTTATAAGATCTTCCAGAAAAGGCAAAATGTTCACACCACAGAAGATGTTCAAGTCAGGCACTCTGTCTCTTATAAAAAAGATTTTAGCTTTCTCTCTTTCCCTCCCTTCCTCTCTCTGTGATCAATTAAGAAAAAAAAAAGCCCTGGCCTATGTGTCTCAGTCAGTTGGAGCATCATCCTGTACACCAAAAGGTGTAGGCTTCTATTTCTGGTCATGGCACATACCAGGTTTCGGGTTTCTCTCTCTCTCTCTCTCTCTCTCTCTCCCCCCCCCCCTTCCTCTCTGAAATGAATAAAAGTCTATAAAAAAAAAAGAATCAGTGAATGTATAAATAGGTGGAGCAACAAATCAATGTTTCTCTCAAAATCAATAGGGTAAAAAAATGTCTTTTCTTGATCATTAAAAACAAAAGAACAAAAATTGCCATTGATGACCTAGTTTGTGCCAGGCGTTATGCTTACCTCACTAAGTTCATAAGATAGAAAACCGAGACTCAGATAGAGGAGCTGAGATTTGAATCCATGTCTTAACTCTAAAGCTCATTTTCCTTTCATAAAGGAAACAAAGTTTCCCTTTTCTCTTTTCATATGCTTAGATAGGTATCGCTAGCTGAGTTATGGAAGACTAAGCAATAAAACTCTTAAATAAAGCCCATCCTTTACCATGAGGTTGTTCATTGTGCACTAGATATACCATTTGTTCTTCAGTGCCGATTTTCAAAAGGAAATATATACTTGAGATGTACCTCAATTTCTAGTTTCTTACATAATTTCTATTTGGAATTAAGTTTAAAGAGGGGGGGTAACTAAATGTGTGCTATTAGTAACCTCAAATATTTTTAGAAATGGTTATAAGTAATTGTTTCAGCAGAGCTGTAATTGAGTTTTGTTTAGGGGGAGTAAACTTTTAGTAACAAAAAATTTTAATATAAATTTTAAAATTACTATGGGATTCTATGTAATTTCTTAATCTGTAAAATGAGTTGGACTCAAAGGTCAGTATATTCTTTTGATTAACTAGAAATTAGGGAAGTATAGGTAGCATGAGTCTGGGAAGATACTAAATCTGTATCTGTTTGTGTCAGGATGAATTTGGTTGTCAGTCACAGAAAACCTGACCATATGGCTTTAACAAGTAAGGGTGGGGCAGTTGGCCACTCCAGGGGTGTTCCAGTGGCTCAGCCGTGACAGGGCTCAACATCTCTGGTTCTCTTGGCCCTTTCTTCTTGGATGCAAGATGGCTGCTGCAATTATAAGCATTACATTCACAGACAGTAGCATCCCCACCTGGACGGAAAAGGATATGGGAAGTATGGGAATAAAAGGAATGGTCTTTTATTAGCACTGTCACATGATCACCTAAGCTAGGACAGCAAGTATGTGACAGTAGGGAATAAGATTGCCACAGTTGGCTTAGAACAGTTATGGTTCATCTCCTAGGACTGGGCACACTGCTGTCCTAAACAAAATTCTGTTAACACCAAAGAACTGAGGAATAGCTCTGGGTAGCCAACAGATAGTTATTTTTCATAATGTGACTCTTTTTCTTCTAGCTGTGCTGCATGATCTAATGGAGTGTGAAGCTTATACTCACCAGGATTATTCCTATCACCCTGATTTTTTTTCTAGTTTCTCCTGGGTTAATTTTATCTCATGTATTCCTGATTGGCAAGGGGTGGGATGAGGACAGTGTCTCTCTGATGATTTGTTACTTGATAATTTGTTTTTTTCTACAAAATACAGGCTGTCTTTGCTTGACAGATATTGCTTTAGAGAGCAAGTTTGCTTCATTGATCATTTTAACTGTAGTCTAATAATAATTTTCTATTTTCTCTCTAGCTATCTCTTAAAAACAAAAGCCATAGTAAATGCAACTGAGATGGATATTCACAACATGCCTCTACCAGAAAAGATTGCAGAGGTAACATTTCATGATTGTTGTGTATTCTTTAATCTAGACAACTCCTGAAAATTTGTAACAATGAACTTGGGAATGATGAAATGATATGATACTCCAACAATTTTTTTAATCGATTTTTTTTTTTCCTAAAGAGGGAGGAAGGGGAAGAGAGACATGGATGTGCAAGAGATACATCAGTTGGCTGCCTCCCACACGCCCTGAGTGGGGATCTAACCCCCAACCCAGGTACTACATGCCCCGACCGGGAATCGAACCTGGGACTTTTTGGTGCACAGGATGACACTCCAACAAACCAAGCCACACGGCACCAGGCTAATTAAAAATTCTTTCTTCTTTTTAATACTCACCCAAGGATATGTTTTTATTGATTTTAGAGAGAGAGGAAAAGAGAGAGAGAGAGAGAAACATTGATGTGCAAGAAACACATCAATCAGTCCCCCTGTACACACCCCGACCTGGGATTGAACCTGCAACCTGGGTATGTGCCCTAACTGGGAATCAGACCTGCCACCTTTTGGTGCATGGGACAACACTCCAACCAACTGAGCCATTCGGCCAGGGCAGGCTTTGTTTTCTTATCTATTTAGCCATCCTGTTTTTTGATTGGAGCAGTTAACCATTTACATTTAAAGTAATTATTGATATGTGTATGTAGTTATTGCCATTTTATTATTGATTCCCTCCTTCCCCCTCAAAGAAGTCCCTTTAATATTTCTTGTAATACTGGTTTGGTGATGATGAATTCCTTCAGCTTTTTCTTGTCTGGGAAGAGCTGGCTATTTGATACTGTGTGGGGATGTTCAACTCTAAGGGTACTGCCCAAAACAATGGAGATTTTTGCTAGTAAGCAATTAAAAGGAAGCTGGTAGTTCTATGAGAGCAAGAAGCTAAACCTTAGACTAGTTTATGAGAGAATCAGGGAAATAGCCAAGAGCAGGCCTCCTGGAGCTGGAACAGAAAAGGACTGGCTTTAATAAAGGTTATCCCTATCTAAGTGTCTGGATTTAATTGGATTAGACTATGGAGCAATTTATGTCCCAGGGCATTGTCGAAAACAATAGAGCAATCAGCCAGCAGTTAGTGGAGGTTAATAGCTGGGTGTGATGCTAATGGAGGCAGACAGCCTACAAAGAGATCATGGGAAGAGACTGAGAGAGCCTTGCTAAAACCAGTCATCCCAAGGCTATGTTCTCTGAGGAGTGACAGGCTGCGCACTGGGAGAGAAACAGGCATCAATAAAATAGCCAACTTTCGCCCTAACTGGTTTGGCCCAGTGGATAGAGCGTCAGCCTGCTGACTGAAGGGTCCCAGGTTCGATTCCAGTCAAGGGCATGTACCTTGGTTGCGGGCACATCCCCAGTAGGGGGTGTGCAGGAGGCAGCTGATCGATGTTTCTAACTCTCTATCCCTCTCCCTTCCTCTCTGTAAAAAATCAATAAAATATATTTAAAAAAAAAATAGCCAACTTTCTAAACAGATGAGCAAACCACCACTATAGGAAGGGATGTGTGTCCTGTTTAGTATCCAGACTTGCTACAATGTATTATCTAAACTGTCCATCAAAAAATAGATAAATAAATAAATTGTCCATTTTCAATAAAAAATTAGACACACAAAGAAAAGTATGCCCCATACACAGGATAAAAAGTAGATATCAGAGCCCTAGCTGGCTTGGCTCAGTGGATAGAGTGTTACCCTGTGGACTGAAGGGGCCCAGGTTCAGTTCTGGTCAAAGGCATGTGCCTTGGTTGCAGGCTCGATCCCGACTCTGGTCAGGGTTGTGTGGGAGGCAACCAATTAATATGTCTCTCTCACATCGATGTTTCTTTCTCTGTCTCTCCCTTCCACTCTCTAAAAATCAATGGAAAAATATCCTTGGGTGATAATTAACAACAACAAAAACGTAGACATCAGACACTGCCTTTTAAAGGACCCAAATATTAGACTTAGAAGAAAAAGCCTACAAAGCCGCTAATATAAATATGTCCAAAACTAAAGAAAAGCATGCTTAAAGAAGTAAAGGAAAGGCATGATGACAGTCTCTTCAAATAGAGGTTATCACTAAAGAGAGAGAAATTATAATTAAAGAAATAATCCTGTGAGTTGAAAAGTACAAACACTGACATGAAAGATTCACTAGAGGGGCGCAATGTATTTGAACTGGCCAAAGAAAGAATCAGCAAACTTAGAGATATGCATTGATAACCTTATGCAATCTGAAGAAGAGAGAAAAAAGAAAAATGAACTGACACATCAAGCACACCTAAATATGCTTTATTGATGAGAGCACAAAAAAGGAGAGAAAGGAAGAAGTAGAAAAATGTTCAGGGAGATATGGTTAAAATTTTTTTCAAGCTTGATGGAAAGCATTAATCTACATATTTGAAACCTCAACAAGGTCAGGAAGGATAAATGCAGAGAGATCAGTATACCTCAGCACATCGTAGAAAACATGCTGGAATATAGTTAGACAAAGAGAGAAACCTCTTAAAAGCAAAAGAAAAATGATTGATCATGTCCAGGAGCACCCCAGTAAGAATTACCTGTTTAAGAAATTTTTTCTGATAAATTTTGTATATTTTTATATCTTAAATCATAAAAAATAGATTTAGTGTACTGTGCAAATTATGGAAATAAGATTTTTTTTGTTACCCATGACTTCAACAGAAAACTTATCCATTTTTCTGTATTCCATGATAAGTTTATTTTTATTTATGAGTCTAAGTACATGTTGTATGCTGAAGAACACTAAATTTGGTTCTAAATACAACTATTCTACGGTGAAAGAACTATTGAAAATTATCGAATTGCAACAAATATCTCTTCTAAACCTGACAACTAGAGCTACTTCTGAAGACCATTAGAATATTAAAGAAAGGCATTTTTTTTTTACTATGAACAAAGAGTTAGAAAAAAGATATAATCTTGCCACTAGAAAAGGAGAGGACTAACTGATGCTTCTGTCTCCACAGGCTCTCTTACCCACTTTATTCTTGTCTTCCTTCCCAATTTTTGGAGTTTAAACCTGGTGATAGAGGTAGGAAGGAGGAAGATAAAAGTAGCAATGGCTAGTCTCTTTTCATGTGAAATATTATATCTGAGGATCTTATTGTACTCTTTGTTGCATAAACTTCTTTTAGAAAGAGAACAAATGCATTAATGAAATGTGTTGAGAAATTGCCAGCTCCCAATCACTAGCTTGAATTTGAAGTGACTTCTAGAATCAGTAAATTAAGAGGTAGATGCCCTGATATGTATGTGTGTGTGTGTGTGTGTGTGTGTGTGTGTGTGTGTGTGTGTGTGTGTGTATTTCTCTTCCCAGATAAAAGAGAAGATAATATTAACACATAATCACTTAAGTTCACTGATGAAGATGCTGAAGGAAGTGACTCCTGACCAGTCCAACACAGAAAACTGATCTAGAACCAGAGCTTGAGTATCAGGGTCAGGCCTTACTGCCATCTTCAAAGACGGGTGCTGTTCGATCATTTCTTGAGAAAGATCAACTTCAAGAATGGACAGGAAATGTGGTTTATTATGTTTACACCTAGGCTGATTTTCTGAATGATTTGTGAAGCTGTTTATAGAAGATGAGAAATTAAGGATCTCTCTGGCCAAGATTCATATCTATTTGACTTCAGAAATTATTTTAGCTCTCTTATCAGTTTCCTAGTCATTTCTGAAAACACCTTTAACTTCATATTTAGGGATTAAGGGGCAATGTGCCATGAATGATCTTATCTTAAGAAATATATGGTAATAAAGTTGTACTTAATGTTGACTATTGTGATTCCTACATGGAGCAGTTATATGAATGGTTGTAACCAAGAATTAACATTTCAGTTAAGCAATAAAGGTTTTATATTCTGCATTTTCTCAAGGTTATAGTCAGCCCTGTGTTTTATTAAAATCTGTAAATAAATTCCATGTTTTCACTTCTTACCGAACTTTCATTACAGCTTAGAGCAGCCTGTTTCAGGGGAGGGGCTGCTGGTGCCAGCCATGAGCTGTAAATCCACAGATTACTGTTTGGAGAGAGAGAGCTTCTAAACAAAGGGAGGAAGCTTGAGAAGGAGCTCTGCAACCACCCTTGGGCCCCTTCCCCCCTTTCCCTTGCTCCCTCTTCCCTTTCTCAAGAGAAGCGGCATGTTCCTACTCCCCTTCAGTTCCCCCTCCCTTTACTCCTGGGAGAGACAGTGCCCCCACAGCCCCTCCCCCTGATCTCTTAGTTGTGCTTTCTCTCCTTATAAAAACCTCTGCCTGCACTGAGATTTTAACATGGGTGTTTGTTTTTTAATATATTTTTATTGATTTCAGAGAGGAAGGGAAAAGGAGAGAGAGAAACATCAATGATGAGAGAGAATCACTGATCAGCCACCTCCTGCACGCCCCTTACTTGGGGATTGAGCCCGAAACCCGGGCATGTGACCTCGACGAATCTGCAGTTTGACGCTCTATCCACTGAGCAAAACCAGCTAGGGCTTAAGATGGGTTTTTGAGGACAGAAGTCCCCCTATCTTCTTGAGTTACTGACAACTTGAATAAACCACTTGCCTTCTCATAACCACCTATCTCAATGAGTTTGATTTTTAAAGCAGCAGGCAGCGGGACCTGAGTGAGGGTCATTTTCTTGGATACCAAGAATCATTTTTTTCGACCTGACCGGTTTGGCTCAGTGGATAGAGCGTCGGCCTGCGGACTCAAGGGTCCCAGGTTCGATTCCCGTCAAGGGCATGTACCTTGGTTGCGGGCACATCCCCAGTGGGGGGTGTGCAGGAGGTAGCTGATCAATGTTTCTCTCTCATCGATGTTTCTAACTCTCTATCCCTCTCCCTTCCTCTCTGTAAAAAAATCAATAAAATATATTTTTTTAAAAAGAATCATTTTTTTTATAATGTAAAATACAAATACAGTGGGGCCTTGACTTACGAGTTTAATTCGTTCCCTGACGGAGTTCGTAACTCAAATTACTCGTATGTCAAGTCAAAAAGTGAACGAGTGAGACACGTGATGCTGGGCTGATGTGGCGTTCACTGTGACGTTCGCTGCGCCAACTAGTGGTGGGGTATCTGAAGCTGGCTTGTAACCCGAATTTTAGCTCGCAACTCAAAAAATCGGCCTAGAGATGGCTCATATCTCAAAAAACTTGTTAGTCGGGACACTTGTAAGTCAAGGCCCCACTGTACATATTCTATAAGCAATATTCAATAAGTTAGATGATATACAATTTTTCTCTTTTCATTTGGAAACATCTTAAGGTAATGAAAGAAAGGAATAAGACCTAACTGGTTTGGCTCACTGGATAGAGCATTGGCTTGGGGACTGAAGGGTCCCAGGTTCGATTCCAGTCAAGGGCATGTACCTTGGTTGCAGGCAAATAAATATCCCTACTCTTATGGAACTTTAAATATAATGATAAGATGCAGGCAGTAAACAATGAAGACAACAAACAGATAAAGTGTATAACATCTACACTAATAAAAGACAAAGATGCTAATTGACCGTACCTTTGCTATGCTCATCAGCCAATCAGAAGAGTATGCAAATTAGCCCAACAAAGATGGCCGTTAAATTTGCATACTGCAGGCAGGTCCCGCTGCACCACCCCACCCAGGTGGGCGGCAGCAAGATCCCAAGCTGCCCCTGCCCCAGCACGGCATCCAGGCCTGCCGTGTGCGGCCTGGGGCGGGAAGGCAGGTGGCAGCGAGATCCCGAGCCGCCGCCCACTCCAGTGCGGGATCCGGGCCTGCCATCTTCGACCGAGGGAGACGGGGCAAGCACCATGGGATCGGGTGTGCCATCTGCCACCAGGGGAGCGGGCCTAATCCAGCAGGTGGTTATCTCCCGAGGGGTCCCAGACTGTGAGAGGGCACAGGTTGGGTTGAGGGACCCCACCACCACCACCACCAGTGCACAAATTTTTGTGCACTGGGCTTCTAGTATTTAAAAAAGAAAGGAATAAGAAAACATTCACTGAAATGCAGTGGGGGTTTGTTTTGTTTGTTTTTTTCATATATTGCTTTACATAGCACTTTGGCCCATTGCACTTGTAATAAGGGTTTAAAGAAAAGAGAGAGTTATAAGCACAGTAACTGAACTGGTCTGCGGGGGTTAAGGAAGTGAAGTTTCAGCAGTGATCTGAAAGAAAAACAGGAATTAATAATGTGGTGGAGGGAACAGCCAGTGCAAAGGTCCTGTGAGGCCCTTAAAAGGCCTTCAGGAGTTCTGGTGGCCAGAGACAAGAAGGTGCAAGGCCATACTGGACTGCAGAAGGATGTTTGCTTATCCCAAGAACAGTGGGAAACCCTTGAACTTTAAAGGAGGAGGCCTATGACAGGATCAAATTATCTTTTTTTGTAAATATATTTTTATTGATTTCAAAGGCAGAGGGAGAGAGAAACATCAATGATAAGAGAATCATTGATTGGCTGCCTCCTGCACGCCCCCTACTGGGGATTGAGCCCACAACCTGGGCATGTGCCCTTGACCAAATCGAACCTGGGACCCTTCAGTGCACAGGCTGACACTCTATCCATTGAACCAAACTGGGTAGGGCCAAATTTTCTTTTTCAAAACCTCATTATGGTTGTCCTGTGGAGAATTGGTGGGAGGGGTGGCAATCTACCACTAAAGAGGAGCTAACACTAGCACAATCAAGAGATGATATAGCCAAGTGGTAGTGCATAGAGAAGTTAACTTGGTTCAGGTGAAGCTAGATTTTTTTTTTATTCCCTACCTGAGGATATGCTTATTGACTTTAGAGAGAGGGAGAGGGAGAGAGGGAAACACATCGATGTGAGAGAGAACATTGGTTGCCTTCTATAAGTGCCCTGACCTGAAACCTAGATATGTGCCCTACTGGAATCAAACCAGCAACCTTGTGGCACTCAAGGCGATGCTCCAACCCAGCCACACCTGCCAGGGCCTAGATGTGTGGTTTCTTTTGTTGTTGTTATTTTGTTAATCCTCGCCCAAGGATATTTTTCCATTGATTTTTGGAGGAGACAGAGAAACATCCATGTGAGAGAGACACATCAATTACCTCCCACATGTGCCCCCGACTGGGACTGGGGATCAAGTTTGCAAGCAAGGTATGTGCGCTTGACCAGAATAGAACCCAGGACCCTTCAGTCTGAGGGCTGATGCTCTATCCACTGACCCAAACTGGCTTAGGGCAATCTACATATATAAAAGCCTAAGCAACCAAACGACTGGTTGACCGGTTGGTATGTCATGCACTGACCAAAGGAGCCAGACACTCAACACAGTAACTGCCCCCTGGTGGTCAGTGCATTCCCACAGCCAACCTCTCACGGCTAGCCAACCTCCCTTGGCACCAATCACCGGCCAGGTCGAGGGACCCCACCCATGGAGAAATTTGTGCACCGGGCCTCTAGTCCTATATAATGAAAGCCTAATATGCAAATTATTCCCTCGACTGCTCGTTATGACGTGCGCTGAACACCAGGGGGGTGGCGCGGAACATGGCAGGCGTCGGTGACACGGCGCTGGCAGCATGCGGCAGTGGAGGCGCTGACGGGCCCCAATGAGAGTGGGACCATGGCGGGATGGTGGAGCGGGTAAGCGGGCTGCACCAGGCCAAGGCAGGTGTGAGCAGGGATCTGATTGCTGGCTCCTAGGTGCTGAGGGAGCTGGGTGGGGGGGCAGGGGGCTTGACCCTGATAGATAACCCTGCAAGCAGGTGAGGAGACGGCACCAGGCCAAGGCAGGGTGCCAGGTGGGGCTGCGAGGGACCCTACCTGTGCACAAATTCGTGTACCAGTGGGGTCCCTCGGCCTGGCCTGCAGGATTGGGCCGAAACTGGCTCTCCGACATCCCCTGAGAGGTCCTGGGCTGCAAGAGGGCACAGGCCTGGCCAAGGATCCCCACTGGTGCACAATTGCAGCCAGGGAGGGACGCAGGAGGTTGGCCAGCTGGGGAGGGACTGCGGGAGTGCTCCAGAGCGTGTCCAGCCCATCTTGCTCAGTCTCAATCAGCCAATCCCAGTAGCAAGCTAACCTACTGGTCGGAGCGTCTGCCACCTAGTTGTCAGTGCATGTCATAGTGAGTGGTTGAGTGACCTTAGCATATCATTAGCATATTACGTTTTGATTGGTTGAACTGCTGACTGGACACTTATATTAGGCTTTTATTATATAGAATAGCAGGTTCTTTCCATTTTATACTACATAAAGGATGTTTCTCTTTAAAAATAAGTTTAAAATGTTGAAAACTGATATGCTTTATGCTTTTGAGTTGCAAAATTTGATTCTGTAAGCAAGGGTGAAGCCTCTGGCAACAAACTACCATAAAATTAATGCTATATTGAATCATCCTGAGGTTTTTGTTAAATGTGTGAAGATCTGCCTCAATATATTTCCTTTAAATCAAAAGACTGTTCTTATGCAGCTATTTTCTTTAACTTTTGGATTTACCATTTAGGTAGCCTTTTAATAAAAAAAAATGCTTGAACTTGACATCAAATTAACTTGGCTGGTTTTAAAAGGATTTCCTTTTTTCTAAATTATAGGCTCAACTCTAGAAAAATATGCAGATATACATGTGTGACAAAATAAAGGGTGTACACTTCCCTTTTCATTTTTCAGAGGCATAATATAGCATGCTGGTAAGTGGGCATGCTCTATATATTTTTTGGGTTTCAGAGAGGAAAATATATATAT